CGTCAGAGAGGAATGTGGTTCAGTAAGGAGGAGTGACATTCCTGCCACAATGGAAGGCTTGGCCACTCACTGAGTTGGTTAGTTAGGTTGTTAGTTGGTTATTTGGTTAATTAGTTATTTGGTTTGTTAATTTGTTGCTTAGTTGGATAGTTAGTTATTTGGTTGGTTATTTAATTGTTTATTTGGATGGATAATTAGTTAGGGTATTAGTCTATCAACACCAACATCTACTACTAATAATAATAACAATTATCTAACAATCTCTGGGATAATCTAACAGACTCTGGGATAATCTAACATACTCTGGGATAATCTAACAGACTCTGGGATAATCTAACATACTCTGGGATAATCTAACAGACTCTGGGATAATCTAACATACTCTGGGATAATCTAACAGTCTCTGGGATAATCTAACATACTCTGGGATAATCTAACAGTCTCTGGGATAATCTAACAGACTCTGGGATAATCTAACATACTCTGGGATAATCTAACAGACTCTGGGATAATCTAACATACTCTGGGATAATCTAACAGACTCTGGGATAATCTAACATACTCTGGGATAATCTAACAGTCTCTGGGATAATCTAACATACTCTGGGATAATCTAACAGTCTCTGGGATAATCTAACAGACTCTGGGATAATCTAACATACTCTGGGATAATCTAACAGACTCTGGGATAATCTAACATACTCTGGGATAATCTAACAGACTCTGGGATAATCTAACAATCTCTGGGATAATCTAACAGACTCTGGGATAATCTAACATACTCTGGGATAATCTAACAGACTCTGGGATAATCTAACATACTCTGGGATAATCTAACAGACTCTGGGATAATCTAACAGTCTCTGGGATAATCTAACAGTCTCTGGGATAATCTAACAGACTCTGGGATAATCTAACAGTCTCTGGGATAATCTAACAGACTCTAGCATAATCTAACAGACTCTGGGATAATCTAACAGTCTCTGGGATAATCTAACAGACTCTAGGATAATCTAACAGACTCTGGGATAATCTAACAGACTCTGGGATAATCTAACAGACTCTGGGATAATCTAACAGACTCTGGGATAATCTAACAGACTCTGGGTTAATCTAACAGACTCTGGGATAATCTAACAGACTCTGGGATAATCTAACAGACTCAAGGATAATCTAACAGACTCAAGGATAATCTAACAGACTCTGGGATAATCTAACAGACTCTGGGATAATCTAACAGACTCTGGGATAATCTAACAGACTCTGGGTTAATCTAACAGACTCTGGGATAATCTAACAGACTCTTGGATAATCTAACAGACTCAAGGATAATCTAACAGACTCAAAGATAATCTAACAGACTCTTGGATAATCTAACAGACTCTGGGATAATCTAACAGACTCTGGGATAATCTAACAGACTCTAGGATAATCTAACAGACTCTGGGATAATCTAACAGACTCTGGGATAATCTAACAGACTCTGGGATAATCTAACAGACTCAAGGATAATCTAACAGGCTTTGGGATAATCTAACAGACTCTGGGATAATCTAACAGACTCTGGGATAATAGAACAGACTCTAGGATAATCTAACAGACTCTGGGATAATCTAACAGACTCTGGGATAATCTAACAGATTCTGGGATAATCTAACAGACTCTGGGATAATCTAACAGACTCTGGGATAATCTAACAGACTCTGGGATAATCTAACAGACTCTTGGATAATCTAACAGACTCTTGGATAATCTAACAGACTCTGGGTTAATCTAACAGATTCTGGGATAATCTAACAGACTCTGGGATAATCTAACAGACTCTAGGATAATCTAACAGACTCTGGGATAATCTAACAGACTCTGGGATAATCTAACAGACTCTGGGATAATCTAACAGACTCTGGGATAATCTAACAGACTCTGGGATAATCTAACAGACTCTGGGATAATCTAACAGACTCTGGGTTAATCTAACAGACTCTGGGATAATCTAACAGACTCTTGGATAATCTAACAGACTCAAGGATAATCTAACAGACTCAAAGATAATCTAACAGACTCTTGGATAATCTAACAGACTCTGGGATAATCTAACAGACTCTGGGATAATCTAACAGACTCTAGGATAATCTAACAGACTCTGGGATAATCTAACAGACTCTGGGATAATCTAACAGACTCTGGGATAATCTAACAGACTCAAGGATAATCTAACAGGCTTTGGGATAATCTAACAGACTCTGGGATAATCTAACAGACTCTGGGATAATAGAACAGACTCTAGGATAATCTAACAGACTCTGGGATAATCTAACAGACTCTGGGATAATCTAACAGATTCTGGGATAATCTAACAGACTCTGGGATAATCTAACAGACTCTGGGATAATCTAACAGACTCTGGGATAATCTAACAGACTCTTGGATAATCTAACAGACTCTTGGATAATCTAACAGACTCTGGGTTAATCTAACAGATTCTGGGATAATCTAACAGACTCTGGGATAATCTAACAGACTCTAGGATAATCTAACAGACTCTGGGATAATCTAACAGACTCTGGGATAATCTAACAGACTCTGGGATAATCTAACAGACTCTGGGATAATCTAACAGACTCTAGGATAATCTAACAGTCTCTGATATAATCTAGCAGACTCTGGGATAATCTAACAGACTCTGAGATAATCTAACAGACTCTGGGATAATCTAATAGACTCAGTGATAATCTAACAGACTCTGGGATAATCTAACAGACTCTGGGATAATCTAACAGACTCTAGGATAATCTAACAGACTCTGGGATAATCTAACAGACTCTGGGATAATCTAACAGACTCTGGGATAATCTAACAGACTCCGGGATAATCTAACAGACTCTTGGATAATCTAACAGACTCTGGGATAATCTAACAGACTCTGGGATAATCTAACAGACTCTTGGATAATCTAACAGACTCTGGGATAATCTAACAGACTCTGGGATAATCTAACAGTCTCTGGGATAATCTAACAATCTCTGGGATAATCTAAGTCTCTGGGATAATCTAACAGTATCTGAGATAATCTAACAGACTCTGGGATAATCTAACAGACTCTGGGATAATCTAACGGACTCTGGGATAATCTAACAATCTCTGGGATAATCTAACAGACTCTGGGATAACCTAACAGACTCTGGAATAATCTAACAATCTCTGGGATAATCTAACAGACTCTGGAATAATCTAACAAACTCTGGGATAATCTAACAATCTCTGGGATAATCTAACAGACTCTGGGATAATCTAACAGACTCTGGGATAATCTAAGTCTCAGAGATAATCTAACAGTATCTGGGATAATCTAACAGACTCTGGGATAATCTAACAGTCTCTGTGATAATCTATCAGTCTCTGGGATAATCTAACGCACTCTGGGATAATCTAACAGACGCTGGGATAATCTAACAGACTCTGGGATAATCTAACAGCCTCTGGGATAATCTAACAGACTCTGGGATCAACTAACAGTCTGTGGGATAATCTAACAGTCTCTGGGATAATCTAACCGTCTCTGCGATAATTTCACAGACTCTGGGATAATCTAACAGTCTCTGGGATAATCTAACAGACTCTGGAATAATCTAACAGTCTCTGGGATAATCTAACAGACTATGGGATAACCTACCAGACTCTAGGATAATTTAACAGACTCTGGGATAATCTAACAGACTCTGGGATAATCTAACAGACTCTGGGATCAACTAACAGTCTGTGGGATAATCTAACAGTCTCTTGGATAATCTACCAGTCTCTGGCATAATTTAACAGACTCTGGGATAATCTAACAGTCTCTGGGATAATCTAACAGACTCTGGAATAATCTAACAGTCTCTGGGATAATCTAACAGACTCTGGGATAATCTAGCCATCTCTTGGATAATCTAACAGACTCTGGGATAATCTAACAAACTCTGGGATAATCTAACAGACTCTGGGATCAACTAACACTCTCTGGGATAGTCTAACAGTCTCTGGGATAATCTAACAGTCTCTGGGATAATCTGACAGTCTCTGGGATAATTTAACAGACTGTGGGATAATCTAACAGTCTCTTTGATAATCTAACAGACTCTGGGATAATCTAACAGACTACGGGATAATCTAACAGTCTCCTGGATAATCTAACAGACTATGGGATAATCTAACAGTCTCTGGTATAATCTAACAGACTATGGGATAATCTAACAGTCTCTGGGATAATCTAACAAACTATGGGATAATCTAACAGACTCTGGGATAATCTAACAGACTATGGGATAACCTACCCGACTCTAGGATGATCTAACAGGGAGAAAGGCGACCTCATAGCTCTGAGAATTCCTCACACTGGGGATTTCCTCTTGGCTGGCCTCTAATTCCTTCCCCTGACATGTTTTGACCCGCCTAAGCCATTCACACAGGTGATGCACTTTCGCCTTGCAACACAGTGGTGATTGCAACACACCGAACTGAGTAAAATTGCAGAGTGGAGAGGCTTGCAACATCAAACGCAGCAGGGATTCCCAGCAATAAGGGAGCTGCCCCAACTATGTAGATCTGAGTTCCAGATAAAGAGCATCTAGATAGCATCATCAACAAGCAGGTGGTTAGGTACTCTCCATGGGTATTCCCACTGATTAATACTTAATGAATCCCAGGGAGGAAGTAGGAACAGGTACCAACACCAGCATGAACTAACCATATTACCCACATAGACCCAGGAACCCTAAGCATATGGAGTTACCTAGGGCATCTAGGGCACCTTAAGCACCAGGGCACAAGACCCATAAGGGCAACTAGGGATCCGACTGCAGATATATATTAATATATATATATATATATATATAATATAATATATATATATATAATATATATATATATAATATATATATATATATATATATATATATTATATATATATATATATATATATATATTTGTTATTAAAACCAATAAATTATTTATTTTCAAAAATTTTATTGTATAAATTCGCTGACAATATAAAAAAGTTTTTAAATATATATATATATAAATCTTACTCATATAAATCTTAGGCATAATAATAATTAAAAAAAAATAATTACGTAGTATCACAGATTTATATACATACGAGGAGTTTGTACAAAATGGGGGGTGGGGAGAGGGGGAGGAGGCCCCCCTGCCCCCCACCCGAGACCCTGGGAAGATCACAGTGGGTAATACACTTGTTAAAGGGAGGGAGGGGGAGTGGGGGGGTGCGGGGAGGGAGGGGGAAGTGGGGGTACCTGAGCCTTAGACCTGATTAATCCATTTATTTCGGGGGGTGGTGTACCCCAGGATGGGGCACTTATAATAGGGTGTTTGGGGTACCTAGGGTACCCAAAACACCCTATTAGAAGTACCCTTCCTGGTACCCCAAGTACCCTCCTTGGTACCTCAGGCACTCTCCCTGGTACCAACACATGGAGGATACCTAGGGTCTCCTGTGGTACAAGGGAGGGTGCCTGGAGTGCCACGGAGGATACCTGGAGTACCAGGGAAGGTACATGCGGTGCAAAGAATGTAGCTGGGGTATTAGGGAGGGTACCTGTTGTACCAGGAAGGGTATTTGGGGTATCAGGGAGGGTACCTGTTGCACCAGGAAGGGTACCTGGGGTATCAGGGAGGGTACCTGTTGCACCAGGAAGGGTACCTGGGGGTCACAGTTAAGGCTTAGGTATCTTTTGGTAGTTTGACGGTATCACAGGAGTGCTAAGACCAGCCTCAGGTACCTGGTACCTTGTACTTGCTGTACCTGGTACTTGTGGTTCCTGGTACCTGATACTTGTGGTACTTGCTGTACCTGGTACCTAGTACCTGTTACCTGGTATTTCTTCCCAGTGGGTATAATACATGAGGGGTACCAACACCCCAGTCACCTGAGATCACTTCCTCTTACAGCTTTAGGCCTAGGCACTAGTGCCAGTCTCATAGGCTAGGCACTAGTGCCAGTCTTATAGGCCTAGGCGTTAGTACAGTCTCATAGGCCTAGGCACTGGTGCAGTCTCACAGGCCTAGGCACTATAGCCAGTCTTATAGGCTTAGGCACTAGTGCCAGTCTTATAGGCTTAGGCACTAGTGCCAGTCTTATAGGCATAGGTACTATTGTCATCAATAGGCATAGGCACTAGTGGCAGTATTCGAGGTACTTAATGTTCATAGACCTAAGCATTATACAAGGCACTGAAATGACACAGACTAGGCCTAGCCTACATAGGCCCTGTGGTAGGCTGCCAGTAGTCTTGAGGCGAGGAAACAGAAGTGCCACTCAAAGCGGCACTGAGAAAAGCTATATCTGGCACTGGCCTGGCCTGGCCATCACTCTGCTGCACCTGCTGTAACTGCTCCAGCGCCCGGAAGTCGAAGCGGTACGCATACCGCTTCCCGTGTACCTTTGTCATCAAGTTACGATCGTAGTAGTATCGTAAGGCGCGGGAGAGCTTATCGTAATTCATGTTTGGTTTCGATTTGCGATCTCCCCATCGTCTGGCCACCTCGTCCGGGTCCAGGATCTTGAATTCCCCTGAAGTTCCTTCCCAGGTGATGACGCCTGAGTTGCTAGGGTCAGAGAGCAGTTCCAGCAGGAACTGCCATAGCTGGACCTGTCCAGACCCCTGAACTGCTAACCTGGTACACAGTGGCCCTAATATCTCATAGGGGTTCCCTTCTATGACATCTTCCTGGGGGTCCGTGAGGTCCGTGGGGTCCTGGAACTCGTCCTTGGGAAGTCCCCTGCCGAAGTTACCTAGCAATATGTCCAAGTGCTGGGCCAGGACACGACCAGTCTTGTTGCCAACCTTCCGTTGCAACTCTCGTCTGGTCAGACTGCATAACTCACCACCTGCAACAATCATTACCATTATTTGTTGTATTGGTGGTAATAGTAACAGTAGAAGTGGTACTAGTAGTAGTAGTAGTAGTAGCAGCAGCAGTAGTAGTAGTAGTAGTAACAGTAATAAGAGTAGTAGTAGTAGTAGTAATAATAACAGTAGTGATAGTAACAATAATAACAGTAGTAGTAGTAGTAGTAATAGTGGTAGTAGTAGTAGTAGCAACAGTAGTAGTAGTAGTAATAACAGTAGTAGTAGTAGTAATAATAATAACAGTAGTAGCAGTAGTAGTAACAACAGTAGTAGTAGTAACAATAATAACAGTAGTAGTAGTAATAGTGGTAGTAGTAGTAGTAGCAACAGTAGTAGTAGCAACAGTAGTAGTAGCAACAGTAGTAGCAGTAGAAGCAGTAAAAAGTAGCAGCAGTAGTAGTAATAGTGTACTAGTGACATTAGTGACAACAGTAGCAGCGCGAAGCAAGCAGGTAGTAGTAGTAGTAGTAGTAAGTTAGATCGTAGTAGTAGTAGTAGAGTAGTAGTAGTTGGTAGTTATTAGTATAGCTGTACTGTAGGTAGTAGGTAGTCGTAGTGAGTATAGTAGCAGTGGAGTATTAGTAGTCGATAGGCCTGAAAATGGAGGAGATAAAAAAGAAGAATAGACAAATCTATAAGTCAAGGCTATCTGCAGGGTATTCCGGGGGTCAACGCCCCCGTGACCTGAACCACGACCAGGCCTACAACCTTACAACACAAGGCTAGAGAGCTAGGCTACCCTACAACACTAGGCTAGAAGGCTAGGCTACACTATAACACTAGGTAGGTGGTAGTACCCTAAAACACAAGTTAGAAGGCTAGGTACCCTACAACACTAGCTAGTAGGCTGGGTACCCTACAACACAAGTATAGAAGCTAGGCTACCATACAACACAAGTTGAAGGGTAGGCTACCTACAAACATAGGCTAGAAGGCTAGGTACCGTGCAACATAAGTTAGAAGCTAGGTACATACATCAAAGTCTAGAAGCTATGTACCCTACAAACAAGTCTACAAGGCTAGGCTACCTTACAACACAAGGCTAGAAGGCTAGGCTACACTACAACACAAGGCTAGAAGGCTAGGCTACCTTACAACACAAGTCTAGAAGGCTAGGCTACCCTACAACACAAGTCTAGAAGGCTAGGCTACCCTGAAACACAAGCCTAGAAGGCTAGGCTACCTTACAACACAAGCTAGAGGCTAGGCTACCTACAAACAAGTTAGAAGGTTAGGCTACCCTGAAACACAAGCCTAGAATGCTAGGCTACCTTACAACACAAGTCTAGAAGGCTAGGCTACACTACAACACAATGCTAGAAGGCTAGGCTACATTACAACACAAGGCTAGAAGGCTAGGTTACACTACAACACAAGCCTAGAAGGGGAGGCTACCCTACAACACAAGCCTAGAAGGCTAGGCTACCTTACAACACAAGGCTAGAAGGCTAGGTTACACTACAACACAAGCCTAGAAGGCCAGGCTACCCTACAACACAAGCCTAGAAGGCTAGGGTACACTACAACACAATGCTAGAAGGCTAGGCTACACTACAACACAATGCTAGAACGCTAGGCTACCCTACAACACAGGCCTGGAAGGCTAGGCTACACTGCAATGCAACGCTAGAAGGCTAGGCTACACTACAACACAACGCTAGAAGGCTAGACTACACTACAACACACGTCTAGAAGGCTAGGCTACCCTATAACAAAAGCCTAGAAAGCTAGGCTACCCTACAACACAAGTCTAGAAGGCTAGGCTACCCTACAACACAAGTCTAGAAGGCTAGCCTACCCTACAACACAAGCCTTAAAGGCTAGGCTACCCTACAACACAAGTCTAGAAGGCTAGGCTACCCTATAACAAAAGCCTAGAAAGCTAGGCTACCCTACAACACAAGTCTAGAAGGCTAGGCTACCCTACAACACAAGTCTAGAAGGCTAGCCTACCCTACAACACAAGCCTTAAAGGCTAGGCTACCCTACAACACAAGTCTAGAAGGCTAGGATACCCTACGACACAAGCCTAGAAGGCTAGGCTACCCTACAACACAAGTCTAGAAGGCTAGGCTACCCTATGACACAAGCCTAGAAGGCTAGGATGCCCTACAACGTAAGTCTAGAAGGCTAGGTTACCCTTCAACACAAGTCTAGAAGGCTAGGCTACGCTACAACACAAGTATAGAAGACTAGGCTACCCTACAACATAAGCCTAGACGGCTAGACTACCCTACAACACAAGTCTAGAAGGCTAGGCTACCCTATGACACAAGCCTAGACGGCTAGACTACCCTACAACACAAGTCTAGAAGGCTAGGCTACCCTAGAACACAAGGCTAGAAGGCTAGGCTACAATACAACACAAGTCTAGAAGGCTAGGCTACCCTATGACACAAGCCTAGAAGGCTAGGCTACCCTACAACATAAGCCTAGAAGGATAGGCTACCCTACAACACATGTCTAGAAGGCTAGGCTACCCTAGAACACAAGTCTAGAAGGCTAGGCTACCCTAGAACACAAGGCTAGAAGGCTAGGCTACAATACAACACAAGTCTAGAAGGCTAGGCTACCCTACAACACAAGCCTTAAAGACTAGGATACCCTACAACACAAGTATAGAAGGCTAGGCTACCCTAGAACACAAGGCTAGAAGGCTAGGCTACAATACAACACAAGTCTAGAAGGCTAGGCTACCCTACAACACAAGGCTAGAAGGCAAGGCTACAATACAACACAAGTCTAGAAGACTAGGCTACAATACAACACAAGTCTAGAAGGCTAGGCTACAATACAACACAAGTCTAGAAGACTAGGCTACCCTACAACACAAGGCTAGAAGGCAAGGCTACAATACAACACAAGTCTAGAAGGCTAGGCTACCCTACAACACAAGTCTAGAAGGCTAGGCTACCCTACAACACAAGGCTAGAAGGCAAGGCTACAATACAACACAAGTCTAGAAGGCTAGGCTACACTACAACACAAGTCTAGAAGGCTAGGCTACCCTAAAACACAAGTCTAGAAGGCTAGGCTACCCTACAACACAAGGCTAGAAGGCTAGGCTACAATACAACACAAAGCTAGAAGGCTAGGCTACCCTACAACACAAGTCTAGATGGCAAGGCTACCCTACAACACAAGGCTAGAAGGCTAGGCTACAATACAACACAAGTCTAGAAGACTAGGCTACAATACAACACAAGTCTAGATGGCTAGGCTACCCTACAACTCAAGTCTAGAAGGCTAGACTACCCTACAACGTAAGTCTAGAAGGCTAGGCTACCCTACAACACAAGTCTAGAAGGCTAGCCTACTCTACAACACAAGTCTAGAAGGCTAGACTACCCTACAACACAAGCCTGGAAAGCTAGGCTACCCTACAACACAAGTCTAGAAGGCTAGACTACCCTACAACGTAAGTCTAGAAGGCTAGGCTACCCTACAAGACAAGGCTACAAGAGGCTACTAGACTCACCTGTGGTTGGTAGCAGGGATGGGCTAAGGGTAGGAGGTAGGTCGAAGTCCTTCCTAGCCCAGGCTATCCACGACTTGATGTTTTCTGCCGTCCAGGTGCTGGGATCTGTTGGGTAAATATTATTATTATTATTATTATTATTATTATTATTATTATTATTATTATTATTATTATTATTATTATTATTTCTTTTTTTATTGTTGTTGTTGATGGTGGTTGTGTTTGGGCAGTAGAGTAATAGTAATAGTAATAGTAGCTGTAGTAGTACACGCAGCTATAACAGCTGTGTCTTAGGTGTAACTGGCAAGTGTGATTTAAGTATAACACTGTGTGTGTGTGTGTGTGTGTGTGTGTGTGTGTGTACTCACCTAATTCACCTAATTGTACTCACCTAATTGTGGTTGCAGGGGTCGAGACTCAGCTCCTGGCCCCGCCTCTTCACTGATCGCTACTAGATCCTCTCTCTGCTTCCTGAGCTGTATCATGTGTGTGTATCATGTGTGTGTGTGTGTGTGTGTGTGTGTGTGTGTGTGTGTGTGTGTGTTGTGTGTGTGTGTGTGTGTGTGTGTGTGTGTGTGTGTGTGTGTGTGTGTGTGTGTGTGTGTTGTGTGTGTGTGTGTGTGTGTGTGTGTTGTGTGTGTGTGTGTGTGTGTGTGTGTGTGTGTGTGTGTGTTGTGTGTGTGTGTGTGTGTGTGTGTGTGTGTGTGTGTTGTGTGTGTGTGTGTGCCAACGGCTTGAACCTCACTATAATAATACCCGGCGACACAACCTTCTCGGTAGAACCTACAAAAAGGTTCATTCAATGATAGCTCCTCTTCCCAGACCTGCTGATGTATCCCCCACCCACTAGTACCTGGTATCCCCCACCCTCAAGTACCTGGTATCCCCCACCCACTAGTACTAGGTATATCCACTAATTCTTAGAACCAGGTATTTTTTGTTTGTGTTGTGTTGTGTTTATATTATGTTGTGTGCTGTGTTGTGTGTTATGTTGTGTGTTGTGTGTTATGTTGTGTGTTGTATGTTGTGTGTTATGGTGTGTGTGTGTTGTGTGTCATGTTGTGTGTTATGTTGTGTGTTATGTTGTGTGTTGTGTTGTGTGTTATGTTGTGTGTTGTGTGTTATGTTGTGTGTTGTATGTTGTGTGTTATGTTGTGTGTTATGTTGTGTGTTGTGTGTTATGTTGTGTGTTATGTTGTGTGTTGTGTGTTATGTTGTGTGTTGTATGTTGTGTGTTATGTTGTGTGTTATGTTGTGTGTTGTGTGTTATGTTGTGTGTTATGTTGTGTGTTGTGTGTTATGTTGTGTGTTGTGTGTTATGTTGTGTGTTATGGTGTGTTGTGTTGTGTGTTGTGTGTTATGTTGTGTGTTGTATGTTGTGTGTTATGTTGTGTGTTATGTTGTGTGTTGTGTGTTATGTTGTGTGTTATGTTGTGTGTTGTGTGTTATGTTGTGTGTTATGTTGTGTGTTATGGTGTGTGTTGTGTTGTGTTTATATTATGTTGTGTGCTGTGTTGTGTGTTATGTTGTGTGTTGTGTGTTATGTTGTGTGTTGTGTGTTATGTTGTGTGTTGTATGTTGTGTGTTATGGTGTGTGTTGTGTTGTGTGTTATGTTGTGTGTTGTGTTGTGTGTTATGTTGTGTGTTGTGTGTTGTGTGTTATGGTGTGTGTGTGTTGTGTGTCATGTTGTGTGTTATGTTGTGTGTTATGTTGTGTGTCATGTTGTGTGTTATGTTGTGTGTTATGTTGTGTGTTGTGTTGTGTGTTATGTTGTGTGTTGTGTGTTATGTTGTGTGTTGTATGTTGTGTGTTATGGTGTGTGTTGTGTTGTGTGTTATGTTGTGTGTTGTGTTGTGTGTTATGTTGTGTGTTGTGTGTTATGTTGTGTGTTGTATGTTGTGTGTTATGGTGTGTGTGTGTTGTGTGTCATGTTGTGTGTTATGTTGTGTGTTGTGTGTTATGTTGTGTGTTGTGTGTTATGTTGTGTGTTATGTTGTGTGTTGTGTTGTGTGTTATGTTGTGTGTTGTGTTGTGTGTTATGTTGTGTGTTGTGTGTTATGTTGTGTGTTATGTTGTGTGTTGTGTTGTGTGTTATGTCATGTGTTGTGTTGTGTGTTATGTCATGTGTTGTGTTGTGTGTTATGTCATGTGTTGTGTTGTGTGTTATGCTGTGTGTTGTGTGTCATGTTGTGTGTTGTGTTGTGTGTTATGTCATGTGTTGTGTTGTGTGTTATGTAGTGTGTTGTGTTGTGTGTTATGCTGTGTGTTGTGTGTTATGTTGTGCGTTGTGTTATGTGTGTGTGTAAATGTGTATAGATGTGTGTATGTTGTATAACACCTCCCTCTCTCACCCAACCCACGACCCACCTCAATAACCCCTCCCCCCTATCACAACAAGTTGCATCAACCCCCACCCCACCACAGCCACCTCCCCCACTCTCATTCAACTCTACCTCCTTGAGACATCCCCAGAGATTAGATATCATGTAAGGGGGAGACGATAGCCGGAACGGAAGCAGGAGGGACCGGGAGAGAGATAAAGGGGTGGGCGAGAGGGACGTAAGATAGCTCTAACCCTCTCCAATCCACACCAACCCTTCAATGAGAGTTATCTCCCAGCGATAACGAGATAAAGCCTATTTCCAGGAAACGGGAGATATCTCTTATCTCGAAGGCCAGTGCTCAGAGTCCAGCTGAACCAACATATACACTACGTAGTACGTATTGTATTTTTTGTTCGTGGATTTGTAGGATTTTTGTTGTTTTAAAATCTTAAACAGTATTTAGGAAAAAATTTTGTGTGCTAGAGGATAGGAATGATCGCGATGAGGGAGGATGAGAAGGATTGGAATGAGAAAGGATGGGAAAGATAGGGATGAGTGCAAGAGATGAAAGAGGAAGAGGTGAGAGAGGAAAAGGTGAGAGAGGAAAAGGTGAGAGAGGAAAAGGTGAGGAGGAAAAGGTGGAGAGAAAGTGAGAGGGAAGAGGTGAGAGAGGAAGAGGTGAGAGAGAAAGAGGTGAGAGAGAAAGAGGTGAGAGAGAAGAGGTGGAGAGAGGAAGAGGTGAGAGAGGAAGAGGTGAGAGAGGAAGAGGTGAGAGAGGAGAGGTGAGAGAGGAGGAGAGTGAGAGAGAGAGAGAGATAGAGAGAGGAGAGAGAGAGAGGAGAGAGAGAGAGAGAGAGGAGAAGAAGAGAGAGAGAGATGAGAGAAAGAGAGAGAGAGAGAGAGAGAGAGAGAGAGAGAGAGGAGAGAGGGAGAGAGAGAGAGAGAGAGAGTAAAAGTCATGAGTGATGAAGGAGTGTACATACCGAGCCACTCCCAGTAAGAGACCCTTCACACAGAGAGAGAGAGAGAGAGAGAGAGAGAGAGAGAGAGAGGGTGACATGCCTGGCTGCCTGGCTTAGGGTGCGACAACTTACCATAGTCCCGCCGCACCTTCATAGTCACCCCATAAAAAATACCCCGTTTTCTGTTCACTTTCTTACGATTTCATTAACCCACTAACATATTCGCTTATTGTTTCGTTCATAATCGCTCCCGGACTCTATAATTACGCTATAACTTCGCCTGGAGAATACATTATAATAGTTATGGTATATATGATTGTATATTTAGTGGGATCAGCGCGATGCAGAGCGATTAAAAATGAGGTGATTCGCAGTAAGAATCTGATGTCAGGACTGAGAGGCGGTTCTATTTATACTTGACTTTTAATTAGTATTTTTTCTCCGAAGGGAGGAACAGGGGAAGAACACAAATGTGTGTTCTGTAACATTCTTTTCCTACTTCCTCGCCTGTCACAAGCATATGTAACTCGCACGCCTTATACGGCGTGCGCTTTCACACAAGTGTTACAATGAGTTCATTGTTGACGCGACTGTGTGACTCAGAGGACTCTTGTGACAAGGAGGTGGGGGCCGTGTCAGAGTGATTATGATGGCGAGGGAGAAGGCGGAGGGGGAGGGGGATGAGGAAGAGGAGGAGGAGGGGGACGAGGAGGAGGAGGGGGGGAGGATGACGTAGAGAGGGATGTCAGGTACGTAAGTGGGTGTGGGATGAGTGTGCGAGAGAGAGGAGGGGGGGACATGCCAGTAGGCTTAATGTAGTGCTCTACTATCCTTATGCTCCTCGATTGAATAAGACGAGGAGGAGGATGAGATAAACTAGGAGGAAGGAGAGCCTATTACATCTCCCCTAACTAAACAAATAGAATCTAACCCAGACAGGACTCGCAGTAATGGCTTCAAGTTGGAAAAAAAATCTGATTTAGAAAGGCTAGAGGGAAGCACTGGTTTGGTAATAAAATTGTAAATGAGTGGAACAATCTCCAGAGTAACGTGATTGAAGCTAAAACCTTGTGTAACATGAGTAGGTGTGAGTGTGTGTGTGTGAGTTGGACTTGCCTGGCTTGGGCCAGCAGGCCCGCTGCAGTGCTCTTTCTTTCAGGTACATATGTTGTCTTCATTTTCGAAAGGGTAAATCTGAGATCGGTAAATCTACATGTGTTTTTCCCTAATGAGTGGGTGCAGAGCCGGATGTGACGTGTGTGTGTGTGTGTGTGTGTGTGTGTGTGTGTGTGTGTGTGTGTGTGTGTGTGTGTGTGTATCCCCCAACTTTCAGGTCGACCGGATGTCCTGTCAAACACTGAAAACACAAGTGTCAACAGGTGGGGCAAGCCGCAGATGTCAAGATGTTAGTCACGTCATGGAATAGGTGTTAAGAAGTGAGGGACGCTACAGAACAGGTGTTGAGGTGTGGAAAAGCCACAGAACAGGTGTTAAGAGAGGTGAAGGACGAAAGAGAACAGATGTTAATAGGTTAAGGACGTCATGAAACAGGTATTTAGAGGTGAGGAGCGTCAGATAACAGATGTTATGTCACATAACACGTGTTAAGAGGTGAGGGACGCACAGAACAGCTGTCACATCATACGACAGGTGTTAACACGTGAAGGACGTCACGAAACAGGTATCAACACATGAGAGACCTGGAGGAACATGCCTAAGCAGGTGTTAATATTTAGAGAAGAGGCAGGAAGGCGTCAGCACACCTATCAGCAGGTGTGGAGCGCCTCAGTACACGTACAAACAGGTGTGGAGCGTGTCAGCACACTTCCCAACAGGACATACCAACAAACAGAATAAAGTCGCATCAACAAACGGTACCCAACTCACCTGGGGGAGCACGAGGTTTTTCCTGTTCTTCCTCCTCCTGTTGTGGCGTCTGCTGGGACGTTGACTCGTAGGCACTAACAGGAGTGAGTCTGTAGGGTGAATCACAGGGAGGTTCAACGTAGGGGGAAGCGTAGCCAGCTATGGGGGACCCATAGCTAGTGTCCAACCCACGATCGTAGCTGGCGTCAAAGCTGGAATTAAGAGGGTCGTAGATATTATTCTGGGTATCAAAGGCGTCGTAGCCAGCCGCCCCGTAGTTGTTAAGCGTATTGGATGCTGCGGTGATGAAGCTGGCCTCCATCTCCAGGTCCAGGGCCGGGGTAGCCCTTGAGGGGGGTCTGAGAGGGGCTGGAGAACCACCGAGAGGGCGACTCATAGGAGAGGGCTGTCCCAGGCTACAGCTACTGCTGTAGCCCGACTCAGTGCTAGGAGAGAGAAGGTTGTAGTCGCTGTAGGGAACCTCGAGGTGGTGGTACTTGTTGTAGCCTGTTGGCTGCTGTGTGTCATACATCTGCTGTGTCTGCTGATGCTGCTGTCCACCGAAGGTCTGCGGCGTGAATGGCTTGTCAAGCCCTGGGTTAACCAGCAAGTGGAGGTCCAGAATGGTGGTGTCTGCGTTCCAAGCCATGATCCCTCATGCACTATTTGTGCAATGTCCGGCGTGTCTGTGTGTGTGTGTGTGTGTGTGTGAGCAGCGTGTGTGTGTGGGTCTGCTGCTGCCCAGGCAGCTAGTGTGCTGCTGGTCCTCTTGTCTGCTGGCTGCTGGCTGACTAACACTCCCTGACTCACACCTCTCCCTAGAACTGCCACCACCACGCTTCTCCTCTTCCACACACTCTCTTCTAAAGGCGTCGCTACAGCTCCTGGGCCACAAAAAAGCAGACACAGCCACGGATATCTATCCCCTGCAGACGCATGCAGACACGACCAAATAATCAACACTCCAAAGGGGCTAGAAGCGGCGAACACAGAAATAATACTCGCCAACTCAGGCAGTAAGTGAGGGGCCTTGCTCACCCTACTCTGCTGTACGCCGGTCTGCTGGCCAGGCAAGTCTGCCTTCTCTTATATACCACCTGCAAACACTGGTACTTGGTAACCAGGTGTTGTAATCTGTTCTACGCCCGCACGTGGATGGGTGGGGGGCGTAGAGAGGTGGGGGAATAATGGGGGAGGAAGAGGCTGGTGATTATTTACAGAGACAACAGAGAGGTTAGGGAGGGGTACCACCTGTTGGAGAGTGTTTATACCAGCTGTGATCCACCTGGTGCACGTGGTGGTGGTGGAGGTGGTGGTGGTGGTGGTAGTGGTGGTGGTGGTGGAGGTGGTAGTGGTGGTGGTAGTGGTAGTACTGGTGGTGGTGGTGGAAGTGGTAGTGGTGGTGGTAGTGGTAGTACTGGTGGTGGTGGAGGTGCTGGTGGTGGTGGTAGTACTGGTGGTGGTGGTGGAGGTGGTGGTGGTGGTGGTAGTACTGGTGGTGGTGGTGGAGGTGCTGGTGGTGGTAGTGGTGGTGGTGGTAGTACTGGTGGTGGTGGAGGTGGTAGTGGTGGTGGTAGTGGTGGTGGTGGTGGTGGTGGTGGTGGTGGTAGTACTGGTGGTGGTAGTGGAGGTGCTGGTGGTGGTAGTAGTACTGGTGGTGGTGGTGGAGGTGCTGGTGGTGGTGGTGGTGGTGGTGGTGGTGGTGGTGGTGGTGGTGGTGGTGGAGGTGCTGGTGGTGGTAGTAGTACTGGTGGTGGTGGTGGAGGTGCTGGTGGTGGTGGTGGTGGTGGTGGTGGTGGTGGTGGTGGTGGTGGTGGTGGTGGTGGTGGTGGTGGTAGTACTGGTGGTGGTGAAGGTGGAAGTGGTGGTGAAGGTGGTGGTGGTAGTAGTACTAGTAGTGGTGGTGGTGGTAGTGGTGGTAGTTGGTGGTAGTGGTGGTAGTGGTGGTGGTGGAGGTGGTGGTGGTGGTGGAGGTGGTGGGAGGTGGTAGTAGTGGTGGGAGTACTGGTGGTGTTGGTGGAGGTGGTGGTGGTGGAGGTGGTGGTCGTGGTGGTAGTTGTGGTGGTGGAGGTGGTGGTGATGGTAGTAGTGGTGGTGGTGGAGGTGGTGATGGTGGTAGTGGTGGTGGGGGTGGAGGCGGTGGTGGTAGTAGTAGTAGTGGTGGTGGTGGTGGGTAGTGGTGGTGATGGTGGAGGTGGTGGTGGTGGTTTAGTAGTAGTAGTGGTGGTGGTGGTGGTAGTGGTGGTGGTGGTGGTGGTGATAGTACTGGTGGTGGTGGTAGTGGTGGTGGTGGTGGTAGTGGTGGTGGTAGTAGTAGCAGTGGTGGTGGTGGTAGTGGTGTTCGTGGGTGGTGGTAGTAGTAGTAGTAGTGGTGGTGGTAGTGGTGGTAGTGGTGGTGGTAGTAGTAGTGTGGTGGTGGTAGTGGAGGTGCTGCTGGTAGTAGTAGTAGTGATGATGGTGGTGGTGGTGGCGGTGGAGGTGGTGGTGGTGGTTGTAGTAGTAGTAGTGTGGTGGTGGTGGTGGTAATGGTGGTGGTGGTGGAGGGGGTTTAGTGGTAGTAGTAGTAGTGATGGTGGTGGTGGTGGTGGCGGTGGAGGTGGTGGTGGTGGTAGTAGTAGTAGTGGTGTTGGTGGTGGTGGTAATGGTGGTGGTGGTGGAGGTGGTAGTGGTAGTAGTAGTAGTGATGGTGGTGGTGGTGGTGGCGGTGGAGGTGGGTGTGGTGGTAGTAGTAGTAGTGGTGGTGGAGGGGGTGGTGGTGGTGGTGGTAGAGGTGGTGGTGGTAGTAGTAGTAGTAATGGTGGTGGTGGTGGGGGGTGAGGGTGGTGGTGGTGGTAGTAGTAGAAGTGGTGGTGGAGGAGGTGGTGGTGGTGGTGGTGGTAGAGGTGGTGGTGGTAGTAGTAGTAGTAGTGGTGGTGGTGGTGGGGGTGGGGGTGGTGGTGGTGGGGGTGGGGGTGGTGATGGTGATGGTACTGGTGGTGGTGGTGATGGTGGTGGTAGTGGTGGTGGTGGTGGAGGTGGTGGTGATAGCAGTAGTAGTAGTAGTAGTGGTGATGGTGTTGGTGGTGGTATGTGGTGGTGGGGGTGGTGGTGGTAGTAGTGGTGGTAGTGGTGGTGGTGGCGTTGGTGATGGTGATGGTGGTGGTAGTGGTGGTGGTGGTGGTGGTGGTGGATGTGGTGGTAGTGGTGGTGATGGTGGAAATAGTGGTGGCGGGTGGCGGTAACGTGGTGGTGGTAGTAGTGGTGGTAGTCCTGGTGGTGGTGGCAGTGGTGGTGGTAGTCCTGGTGGTTGTGCTAGTGCTGGTAGTGGTGGTGGTGGTGGTAGTGCTGGTAGTGGTGGTGGTGGTGGTAGTGGTGGTGATGGTAGTTATGGCGCTGGTGGTGATAGTGGTGGTGTATGGTGGTGGAGGTGGTGTTGGTGGTGGTAGAGGTAGTGGTGGTGGTAGTGGTGGTGATGGTAGTTATGGCGCTGGTGGTGATAGTGGTGGTGATGGTGGTGGAGGTGGTGTTGGTGGTGGTAGAGGTAGTGGTGGTGGTAGTGGTGGTGGTGGTAGTGCTGGTAGTTGTGGTGGTGGTAGTGGTGGTGGTAGTGGTGGTGGTGGTGGTGAAGGAGGTGGTTGTGGTAGTGGTGGTGGTGGTGCTGGTGGTGGTGGTAGTGTTGTTGGTGGTGGTAGTGGTGGTTGTGGTAATAGTGGTGGTGGTAGTGGTGGTGGTGGTAGTGGAGGTGGCGGTGGTGATGGTGGTGGTGGTGGTAGTGGTGGTCGTGGTGGTGGTGGTGGTGGATGTGGTAATTGTGGTGGTAGTGGTGGTGATGGTGGAAATAGTGGTGGCGGTGGCGGTAGAGGTGGTGGTGGTAGTGGTGGTGGTAGTGATGGTGGTAATGAAGGTGGTGGTGGTGATAGTGGTGGAGGTGGTGTTGGTGGTGGTGGAGGTAGTGGTGGTGGTAGTGGTGGTGGTGGTGGTGGTAGTGCTGGTAGTGGCGGTGGTGGTAGTGGTGATGGTGGTGATGGTGGTAGTTGTGGTGGTGGTGGTAGTAGTGGTGGTGGTAGTGACAGTGGTAGTTCTGGAGGTGGTGTGGCGGTAGTGGTGGTGGTGGTCGTGGTAGTGGTGGTGGTGTTGCTGGTGGTATTGGTGGTGGTGGTGGGGGTGGGGGTGAGGGTGGTGGTGGTGGTAGTGGTGGTGGTGGTGGTAGTGGTGGTGGTGGTGATAGTGGTGGTGATGGTGGTAGTGGTGGTGGAGGTGATGCTAGTGGTGGTGGTGGTGGTGGTGGTGGTTGTGGTGGAGGTGGTGGTGGTAGTTGTGGTGGTGGTGGTGGTAGTGGTGGTGGTAGTGGTGGTGGTAGTTGTGGTGGTGGTGGTGGTAGTGGTGGTGGTAGTTGTGGTGGTAGTGGTGGTGGTAGTTGTGGTGGTAGTGGTGGTGGTAGTGGTGGTGGTGGTAGTGGTGGTGGTGGTAGTGGTAGTGGAAGTGGTGATGGTGGTGTTGGTGGCGGTGGTGGTAGTGGTGGTGGTGGTAGTAGTGGTGATGGTGGTGATGGTGGTGATGGTAATGATGGTGGTTGTGGTAGTGGTGGTGGTGGTAGTAGTGGTGGTAGTGGTGATGGTGGTGGTGGTGGTGGTAGTGGTGGTGGTGGTAGTAGTGGTGATGGTGGTGATGGTGGTGGTGGTAGTGGTGGTGGTGGAAGTTGTGATGATAGTGGTGATGGTGGTGGTGGTAGTAGTGGTGGTAGTGGTGGTGGTGGTGGTGATAGTAGTGGTGGTGATGTAGTGGTGGTGGTGGTAGTAGTGGTGATGGTGGTGATAGTGGTGGTGATGGTAGTGGTGGTAGTGATGGTGGTGATAGTGGTGGTGGTAGTAGTGGTGGTAGTGGTGGTGGTGGGTGGTGATAGTAGTGGTGGTGATGGTAGTGGTGTGTGGTGGTAGTAGTGGTGATGGTGGTGATAGTGGTGGTGATGGTAGTGGTTGGTAGTGATGGTGGTGATAGTGGTGGTGGTAGTAGTGGTGGTAGTAGTGGTGGTAGTGGTGATGGTGGTGATGGTAGTGGTGGTGGTGGTTAGTAGTGGGTGATGGTGGTGATGGTGGTAGTGTTGGTGATGGTAGTGGTGGTGATAGTAGTGGTGGTGATGGTAGTGGTGGTGGTGGTAGTGGTGGTGGTAGTGGTGGTAGTGATGGTGGTGATAGTGGTGGTGGTAGTAGTGGTGGTAGTGGTGGTGGTGGTGGTGATAGTAGTGGTGGTGATGGTAGTGGTGGTGGTGGTGATGGTGGTAGTGGTGGTGGTGGTAGTGGTGGTAGTGGTGATGGGGTGATGGTGATAGTGGTGGTGATGGTAGGGGTGGTGGTGGTAGTAGTGGTGATGGTGGTAGTGGTGGTGGTGGTGGTGATGGTAGTGGTGGTGGTGTAGTGGTAGGTGATGGTAGTAGTGGTGATGGTAGGGGTGGTGGTGGTAGTAGTGGTGATAGTGGTGGTTGTTGTCACTGTTCACTTTATGGAGTTACTTCCAACTTGTTGTTTGAGCAGCTATATAGTGGTGATGGTGGTAGTGGTGGTGGTGGTGGTGATAGTAGTGGTGGTGATGGTAGTGTGGTGGTGGTGGTAGTGGTGGTGGTGTAGGGGGTGGTGGTGGTAGTGGTGGTGATGGTAGTGGTGTGGTGGTAGTGGTGGTGATGGTAGTGGTGGATGGTGGTAGTGGTGGTGGTGGTAGTGGTGGTAGTGGTGGTAGTGGTGGTAGTGGTGGTGATAGTAGTGGTGGTGATGGTAGGGGTGGTGGTGGTAATAGTGGTGATGGTAGGGGTGGTGGTGGTAGTAGTGGTGATAGTGGTGGTTGTTGTCACCTTGTTCACTTTATGGAGTTGCTTCCAACTTGTTGTTTGAGCAGCTATATATTTGTACATGTTAATATTCCTCTACCTTAAAGCCTCAACAAAATATTTATACAACTCAAATTACCTTGGGAACGTCACCTCAACTAATTACAGTATCCTTCAGTCACGAACCTTTGTCAGTCATTAATACCGTGAAGGGTAAGAATGCCAGAATACTGAGGTAGGCCCTTAGAATACATCCTT